ACGGAGAAATGACCTCTGCATTTAACCCATCCCCTTGGGGAGGAGTGGGCTGCCATTGTGCAGGGTCTTACTAAGAGACCCAGAGGGCCGACTGTAGGGATCAAACTTGCGACCTACTCAGAGCACAACCGCACTTCTCTAATCACTAGGCCATAACTCCCCCAACAGATAAAAAGGGCTTGTCTGATGGTAGCGGTGTGATGAAGTGAGGTAACTTTCCAAAGGCTATATGGCTCAAAAACCACAAAGTGCTTTGGCATAAAAAATATCCCAAAAAAATGAAAACTCAAAACATATAACAGAAGGGTGTAAAGTTAAAAGCAGCTCACAACAAAAAATTAAAAACAAAACAGGACAAAAAAAAAAAAAATCTGAATAACTAAGTGTTTTGCTGATTCAACAGAATTATGAGGTAAAATCAACTAATTTTACAACCTGGGGTCCATTGCTGTAAATGATTTGACTCCTATTGTTTTAGAATATGTTCATGGTTCCATTCCAAGCCTTTCAAGTTTGCAGCTTGACCACAAGGCTCTAACAGTGAAGCCTTTGATTTTTAAAATGAATTCTCAAGTAAATTAGTCGCCAATTGTAATGAGGCCAAACCGAAGAGATTTGATGTGTCTATTGTGTGTTAAACCTTGCAGCTGCCCACTGTAATGACTGAACAAGGTCAAGATCTTTCTTTCTCAAACACATTAAAAGGCAATTACAATAGTCATTGAAAATGAAATAAAAGTGTTTAAATCTATCTCTTATTCAGCTTCTGACACCAAAGATCTAAGGAAGGAAATATTTCTCGCCTGAATAAAGCACTTTCTGATTAACTCTCCAAAATGATGAAGGACATTGCTAGGTAAACAAGAGCAGCAAATCCTACAAAATCAACAGCTCAATGCAATGGACTGGGTTTCTTTAAATAGAAAAGCTTTAACTGATCTGTCTGTGGGATCTGACAGAACTGTCTCTATAAAGTGCCTGGAGATGACTTGTGTAAATTGATTGAAAGAGTAACGCAAAGGTTTTGAGGTTTGGTAGGGCCAATACTGTACATCAGGTTGCTAATAGTTTTCAGCTATACAGCTGTCAATATGTCTGTCATATGAGGCGAAAAGACATATGAAAGACACATGGGGTATAAAAAGTGTCCAGGACTGCTAAATGAACATGAGTAAAGTATAATACCAGAGTGGCGGGCTCTTTCTTTCTTTTTTTATTTTTTTTATTTCTTTGAGCAACAATACAAGGAAGATTTACATTGAGATTTTAAGACATATTAGTAGCGCTCAAAAAGAGTAGGTAGAAGTTCAAGAACTTGTCAGAACCTACCCCCAATAAGAATATACATGTCACGTAACATATAGTATAAGGTCTTTGCTAAAAATTAGGCATTACAAATCAAATCGCAGTTAAACGAATACAGAGTGTGTTATATTGAAAGCAGTTGTACAGAAAAAATAAGATACCTAGTAGTAAATACTGAAATGTTCCAAAATATCACAGTTAAATCTTTGAGTCACATGCAAATTTCTTAAACATAACATATTTATACTTGCTTTTAAATTTTCTTAGTGTGGTACCGGTACTCTTTTTTATTTCCATATCTAACCCATTCCACAACAGAATTCCTACTTGGTTGAGCCCCAGACTTTTAAGTGTGGTGCGAACATCACATAATCTCAAAACAAATTCTCCTCTCAAATTATAAATCTCTCCTCTACTGGTAAAAATGTTTTTATCAGTAGAGAAGAAAAGTAGTAATTTTCAGAAACCCAAATCTGGTCACCATAGATATGCTAGCATTGCTATCAAGAGCTTAGTGACAGAATCATACTTACAGCTTGTGTTTGCGATGGCCTTACGGTCAGAACAGCCCCTCGTTTCAGTAAAAGAAGTTTAGCAAATCCTGCCGTCAACTGCCCAAGATTTTGAAAGCTGTCTTCGGTAAAATGCATAGAGCAAATGCACAGCTGAGCATCAGACTTTGCAGGGGTCTACTGATAGACGAAAATAATCCATGCCTGTCGTGGATCCTTGGGAAGACTGTGAAAGTCTTTCTCCGTGCAGCCTGGAACACTGCATTAAGTGTATGTCAATTTCGAGGCGTGACAAAAGTACAGGCAAGAACCAAATAAGGTGACATCCCCGAATTGACGTCAATTCGGTGCTTCGTTTGAAGTCGCCGGTTTTATGGTGGTTTAGAATTGTGAGCTTTGCAGAGAAAGGAGGTGTCGATGGGGTTCGAACTTCTCTGTACGTCCATTTCACCCACTGAACTATCGTTATTTACTTATGGCAATGTAAACTTGGTTTGCGTTCTATAACCCCTTTAAAACATGGTGTGTGAGATATGAAAAAAAAATTCTTCTTTAACCCTATTTTACTTTTAAAGTATATAAATGAAATACCTTCTAGTTTTTATAAATGTGTATCATGTCATCTAATGGATTATTTGTTACACCCCTATTCCTAAATGTGTCTTTAATTAGCACTAATGATACATTGTTTTAATATCCTGATTATCAAACTAGATTAACTTTAAATTCAGTTTTATGTACATATGATCAATTTAAGGAAATTTCATTTTCTCCCCATCCTACACAGATCACTGCCTCTTCTCAATTTGCTCCATCTGGATCGAGCTTTTCCTTCCTATAAGAATGTTCATTTCATGATAAAGGCCATTTTATCTGTCCTGTGTATATGTCGCATCATGACATATATATGTTTAGTATCTCAGCTCTGTGCAGAAACAAGCAAGTTTCCTGACAGACTATTCAGTTTCATGATCTGCTGAAGAATTAGTTAGCCCTGACAAAGCATTTGCCATGATCAAGCATGCAAAGAAAGGCTGAGATGCAGTATCTTTTTAGATGCTTACAGCAATGTGGATAATTAGAAGCAGTGTTGATCACTCTTCCATCTTTTTTACCGTTCTGATTATTATCTGTGCAACAAAATAATAAACACTGAGGAAGTGTATGCAAAAACACACACAAATTACAGTGTAAAAGCAGACGCCCTTCTGCAGCAATATTCCATTTAGATTGTGAGTGGTTGTTGTAGACTTGGGTACGAAGTTAGCTGTGGCTAAGAGGGCAACAAAGAGCTGCAGGGTTGGAGCAGTTTATGTTAACTCCACCAATGTACAGCGGTCATTCCTTTCCCTGTCTGATTACAGTAAACTGCACACTATAAAAACTTATCTCTGTTTCAACTGTGTCTGAGCATTAAAGTGTTTGCAGGCAAAATTGTGACAAGACAGGCTGGGGTGTAGAGAAACTTCTCATTACATATTCATTCAAATAGCCTTATTGTTGCTCCTTGAGGTAGGTCTGTGTTACCAATCAGCATCGATTGATGCCCTGCATCCTCCCTAGCAGCATTATGCCCTGTAATGAGATTCCTCTTTCTGAGCAACCATCCGTAATCCCACACCTCAAGCTGTGCTCTCTGGGTCTGCACAGCTGAGTCGCGCTCAAACGTGGATATCGTACATGAAATTCAGTGTTAATGCTGCCAACCTGAATGAGAATCACACAATGGCGCTCAAATGAAATGGATACTACGCCTATTACCGAACATGTTAATCCTCTTAAGAAGTTAAAAGAGGTCTTGATGACATGAGGGAGAGGCAGGAGTGCAGAGCACTATGGAAACGAGCAGGAACGGGTCGGAGAAATTAGGTTTGTCCTAAACAATAGCACGCCTGCTGCCACGTTTCTTCAGTCATTAGCCTCTGATTCTCTCAGAGGATTTAGTAGACAAAGAGGAACAGCACAAGGCGGCCTTTAAAAGGCTAATATATTTGTGATCCACGAATCCTGAAGATATTAAAAGCATGATAATGGCATAATGTCTGTAACTGTATGAAGGCTTTCACTGTCTGTAGCTGTAAACATATAACTAACTTTATCTGTGGCCAGTTGTTGCAAGCCAGTCAGATCACTGGATACTTGAGTTATGTCTCTGAAAGTAAACCAGTAAATTGAGGTATAAATACCCTTCATGATGTTTTTTGAGACTCTTTCAAGCATCTTTTCCTGGGTATACTGGAAGCTATTTTTAATGCCCTCTACTTAAAGAGGGCATTGGGCCCTTGATTTTACGTTATTACATCATGTTCATCCATTTTGGTTTTGTGTCATTTGGAGCTGTTCTGATATTCCGATAGGTTATATCCTATGGACAACGACTTGAAGGAACAAACTAAACTGTTCATAATTTATCATTTATGGTACGCCAGCATTCATAACATGTAGGCGAATCACAGTCCCCCAGTCCCCAAGACATATTTATATTTTTTTAAACAAAGAGGCACGTGTACGTCGTCAGTCCCGCGTCGAGTACCGTTCATTCATCCTGTCCGCTGAACTGCTGCTAGTTTTACTCACATGCCTGGAAGATGTCTAGTCCTACTACCACAGATGATCTCGCTCTCGAAATTGAATTGAACGATTCAGATTAGCTAGCCGAATGAATAGAAGGGGTAGAGTGTAGCCGCCTGTGACCCGGGCTGCCTGTTATGACTGCACTAATCTGGAATTATTTTGAAATAAGAGTCAATCGAAAGTGAAAATGAAGCCTTATCAAATATATTTTCTTTATATTAAAACTTATTATAATAAGTTATAATAAAGTTATAATAAAGAGAATATGTTGAGGTCACCTAGCAATAAGCAATGATAGATCTCAGAGAAAAATGATCTACGGATCTATTTCTGTCGTTTTAACAGAACCAGTCAACATGTCAGAGCAGCTGAATCTAAGAGAGACAGCCAAAATCAAGCAGCCTAATTAACAGAAGTTTCCCCCGGCTAATATGTTTGGATCATCTCTATCCCTCTGCGGCTGCTCTTAAAAGCTTTTTTTAAAATGGTCTCATGAGCCATTTTGAATCTTATTGGAGGCAAATCTAACTTTGATGATGAGAGATACTTAAGGAGGTTAGGGCAAGAGTTAACCAAAATCTACAGCGAAATCTCCTGATACTGCATCAGACATGAAAACAACAGGTAATGCAAATGGCTCACCTGTCTTTGCCTGTCTCCTTCTTGAACACCATGTCACAGTAGTTCATCCTGTCCTCTGTGGTGACGTAGATACGAGCATGGGGATAGTTCTCTGATGCCTGTCGCAACATGTTGTAAACAATGCCCTTTCCGTCCTTCCTCATGTTCCGCAGCGGCCCCCACACGACGTAGACGGTGTCATTGCCCTGGCCGAAGAAGTGCTGCGGCTTCTGCAGCAGGAGGGGCACGCTGGTGTGAGAGACGACTCTCAGGGTGGTTCGTCTTCCGACGTCATTTTCAAATCCCCGCGTGGGAGCATTGTTCATGCGCCAGATGCAAGGAGAGCGGTCGATCTGTGCGCCTGCAGCCTGGCCCAACATCTGGCCGGAGCTGGACACAATGCTGCACAGTTCACAGTTCAGCTTCAGGGGCTAAAGAACAAAATGAGAGAATATTTTTTTGTTTTTAAGAGATTAAAGAAAAGTGTCAGCTATATAGAAGCAGCAAGCATTTTTTTTCACATCAACATATGATTTAAAAAATGAAATGGTGATAAATTTATATACCGGTATATTTATTTTACAGCAAAACAAGTCAACAGTTCAGGTATTGAGAATTGTTTAAGGTTTGACTGAAAGAAACCACAAAAGAGAAATATTTCAATGAGATTTGATGGAAGAAATCAACACGAAATGATGAAAAATTCTCAGGTAGAAGAATAATGGACATCTAGAGACAATGACAGCTCTGCCTATAGTCACATATTCAATGCTGTGTGCAGAAAAACGGATTATATCCAACCTCAAATATAGCTAAAAAACTTAGCAAGGATCAAACTGATGGTGAAGCTGCAGAAATCTTTCAAATTAATAATGTTGCCAAGCTCCACCAAATCAGTAAATTTGATTCTCCCAAACACTTCAATGGCTACAGGTGAATAAGGGTTGGAGTGGAGATACTTGGAGACTGTGGAACCAATTGGGCAGAGCTGAACTGCTTTACCTCCCCCAAACAACTTCAACTCTGCCCAAAACATAAAAATTTAATTTAATATAATTAGGTTTTGAAAGCCAAAACTTGGCTTTAATAGCATAACTAGAGCATTTGATGTTTGGGGGTAGAGCAACCTAATCGAATCTTAAAGTAAGGTTGACAGAGGGTGTACAAAATGAGTTATGATAACCAGTAAGTTAGCATCTATATGTTCTTGGTATCTGACCATCGTAGTTTACTAGCAAGCTAGTGATCAGTGCATGGCAATAGTCCCATTGATTGGGTTGAAATTAGAACATAAAGTGGTTGGCCAGGGTTAAAGCTGCTTCATCTGTGCCCAGGGCTCTGTAGCTATCATCATTTGGAGAAACTTGACAGTCCTAAACTCAACCTCAAAGATCTACTTTGAGATAAATGACAGCAGAGGATGAGGTTTTAGTTTTTCCACATAACTCTGAACAACTCCCTTTACCTTGAGGAAAATGCTTATACAGAATAGTTAGTATAGTTGCAATTGTGGGAACAATGGGTCCATCGATGAATTTGACCCTATAGATTGAGAACAGGATCTAAGCCAGGGGGCTGCAAACCTTAATATCAGAGAGCCATTTTGCTCTGACTCCAGCAAAAGAAAAATTATTTAAAGCCACAATTACAACAGTTTTAAACCAGGTAAAACATTTTATATAAAGGAAGCACGGATTTTCAAGGGCACATACCATGCTATGGCAGCAGATTTGTTGAAGGTCACAAATCATTTAAGATTTAGAACTTCGTAAGGCATGGAAAATTCAAATTAGGTTTTACAATGACAATCTGTCAGAAAATAAAATACTTTTATTTGCAGGGGTCTGAACATTTTTATTTTTGTTTGTTTTTTTGTTGTTGTTTTTTTTAGGTAAAATGTCTGTTGACCATAAAAAGGCACAAAAACTGTGAAGACTAATGTGATGAGTGTGTTATTGTTTTAATAAATCAAGGTAAACTTACCTTTTAGGAGTTGTATATTGTAAGTTAGTTATACCTTAATTCAAAGTTTACAGTTATAATTAAAGAACAAGCACTTTATGACTTCCTTTAGTGTCGTTCTCTGCAGCCTTTGCAGGGCTGTGTAACAGTTCATAAAATGCAGCCCTGGGAAAGGCAGTTAATTAGAACAGAGACCCAAGAGAACCTAAATTTATCACATTGTGAAATGCTGCTGAGCCTTATCTCTTGGTTTTACAGCTTTAGAACAATGTGCACACATTTTCTATCTCTGAAAAGCTGAAAGTGCAGAAAACTTGCTAAGAATGTTCATCTCTTGAATTCATCCTGACCTTCCTACAGACAAAGAAAGACACAATAGGTTAACAAGGGTAAAAGACTGAAGGCTTGTAAAAGGATCTGGACCATGATGGAATGAACATTTATCGTTTACAAAGAACATTTCAGTTTTAAATACATGGTTTGATTGACTCTTGCAAAGTATTTGTTCTTTAAATTGTGCACGTAAAATATCTGAAGTTTTTCAAAGGACATTTCTCTTATTGAACTAAAGAAATACATTTTATATTAAGCTAAATGAGTTGTTTTACTTGAAAACAGCATTAAGGGCTATTTTCCTCCATCTTCATGTGCTTATGTGAACCATGAGAAGAACATACAGTAGCTCAACCTCTGCTACAACAAACTCACCACTTAAGTTGTTTACAGGCGGCCCGGTGTGAAAGCTGAGGAAGTAATGTCATAATGTCATCCAGGTCATAGTCATTCCAAAAAGTCAGGAAAAAAATCCACTGGACTTTGTTTCGAAGTTTGAAGACGTTTTGCTTCCCATCTAGGAAGCTTTATCAATTCCCTTTAACGAGACATAGACAGGTGTTGGGTTTTGCAGTCAAACAAAGAACCTGAACGACCCCCATTCCTAAGGGGCGAAACCGTTCATCCAGTTCAATTTGCATGTTTCCTAATCAAAACAAGGCTTTGTTTTTGGTCCACTCTGTAAAGCCTGAAACTCAAAGCTATTTCTCCAGTTTTAATTGAAAAATCTTCCTGGATGGGAAGCAAAACGTCTTCAAACTTGGAAACCAAGTCCAGTGGATTGTTTTTTAACTTTTTGGAAATGTTACAATGACGTTTAGGATTTCATAGCTAAAAAAAAAAAAAAAGCTAGAAATGTATCCAAGTAAAGAGAGTTTAACCTTCATTTAGCAGATGTCGACAGAAACTTACGTTCCATGAAAGCCTCCCTCTGCCACTGCAGTTCTTAGTTCAGTTGTAGATAAAATCAGCCAGTATTCTTTTTTTTTTTTTTTACAACTAGTAGCAGAAAAAGATTAAATAGAGGAAGGGCATTTCTAATACATACCTACGTTTGGCATCAGAAGTTTTTCTTTTAGCCATCATTACAACTATATCAAATCTTTTCAATTCCACAGCTGTGCTTCTTTTGTGATTTATAAATGGCCAGATGAAGGTCAGAGATTTCTCTTTTTTGAAGGTTTGTGAAAATGAGGCATCTTAGGGAAATATCTATTGCAACATAATTTTTACTGACGCTGCAAACAACTTCTAATAGCAGAAAAGAAGATTGTGACATGTTGACATTTCTACAATTTTTAGATTAGTAAAATATAAATTTCTGTTTCTCTGAAGTAAAAAAAGGTTTGATTAAAAGCCGCATTTGTAATTGATACAACGGAAATTGAGACAAGAACAGATGCCATTCAAGCTTGGCTTGGTTCCTTCTTAACAACAGGAAAGGCTACAAGAAAACAGGAGCATAAGCAACACAAATAAACAGTCTGTGCAATGCAGAGAATCTGAATACAAACAAGACTCGAAATTACAAGAATAATAAACATGTACCTGTCTATCCTTCCATCCACCATTAAAAGAACAAAATTTAATCACATCTTTAAATATATTTTTAATTTACTTAATTACTGGTGTATCCATTCAGTGTTGGTTGTTGAAATCCCTCATTTGACCTTAGGGCTGTTTTATGAGGTTTCAGATATATAATGAAAGTAACAGTTTGGCAGGATTGCATGGTAAGAGCATTAAAGAAATTGGATTTGGTGGCGTTAATCTGGGATTTACAAGCCTATTTAATTGATGTCTTTATGTTAAGGACAAACCCAAGTAAAGAAAATGAATAAGAAGCTTGAAAATTATGCTCCAACTGTGGTCATCTAGATCTGAGAAATAGAATAGTTTTATATAACATATATGGGTATTTTTGACAATAGAAAAGTGACTAATAATACATTGTTAACAATTTAAGACATAATTTGCTAACAGAGAAAGGAAGTGATATGGATCACAATCCAGAAATTAGGGTCTCTAGTTGTCTGTTAAACATATAAGATCTTATATAATGCAATGTATCCTAGATGATATAACTGATGAATGCAAAATATTGAATATATATAAAATGTTAAAATATTTTTCCTAGGGTCAAACGAGAAAACTGATTATATTTAAGAGACATTATGTAAGTTTTTACTGAAATATATCTTGTAAATTGCCATTTTATTTAAGCCTTTATGATTAAAACATGGTTAAATGAGCAGACTGAAACCTCAGACGTTCAGCATTGATGCATCTATAAGCCTGTAGCCTATTTTCCTGAATTGACTTTGATTTCACGTCATGTTTAATGGGTACGACCAAACAAATGAAGTGTTATTTTAGAGATGGATTTTGTGGATGTTCACAGGCAACCGGCATCCAGTCCAACCCACACAACAAAAAGGAAAAAATAAATAACCTTTTCAAGTATGAGCGCAAGATACAAGAACAAGCAGCAGACTGCGGTTTTGGCTACAGGTGGCAGTATCATTAGAAAACTCCATAATGCCTATTAACATTATTTTTTTGCAGCTTATTTTTCTGTCTGTGTCAGGATTAGTGGATTTGTTAAGGACCAAAATGCAGAGCTAAGGACGCAGAGATATTTTCTTAAATTTAATGAACAGGTAGAAAATAAGGAAGCCTTAATCCAGAACCAATATACGTACAAGAAACTCAGGAACCAAAAACCAAGAGAGACTAAGGAGGAATAAACCAAAGGAATGAGGGAAAGAAGAAAAAGAATCCAGCAACCAGTAACAGCAGTTGAGGAATATATATGCCCAACAGGATAATGGATGGAGTAATCAGCTGATTGGGAGGAGTGGTGGACAGAAGTATCTACATGGGAGCAAAGGGAAAGGAGAGGGACACAAGGGGCAACAGAGAGAAATACAACAGTGCTTAGATATAACTACAAAATAACTTAGATGACACTAACTGGAAAAGAAACCAATTACAAAAAAAACACAGAATGGCAAATCAAAGTATAACTGAAAACTCAAAAAGAAAAGGTCCAGAAAGGGCAGAATCATGACAGCCTGTTTAAGTGTTAGGAAGCTAAAATATGAAATTTACCATATTTTCCATCCTTTTTTAGGAT